TTGTTTTTCCATTTTTTCTTCCAAAGTGGACAAGTTCACATTATCCCCTTTCTATTCCACAATTGTAATGAGATTCCCTAAGTGAACTGCTATAATCTTTTTTGTAAAAGATTGCAGCGTTTTGTCTACCACAAATGCTAGCCTGTTGTTTCTTGCTTTTTGGCTTTCTGTTATTTTTTAATAGAAGAGTTTTATTTGCTATTTTCCAATCTGATAGGACTTTTTGAGAACCTAGAAAATTTCGGAAAATTAAAACCAGTGCATCTATTCTCTCAGCAGCCGTTTCTTTTAAAATGAGGTCCATCAGGACCTGGGGTTTTGTCAGTCTTTAGTTATAATAATGTTCTTAGTATCCTTTGTAATTGACTGTAATTGTTTTACATTTCTCCATCCCTTTCATCTCTTGATTTACAATTATTTCTAGGAACTCTTTCATCCTCTACAGGCTTGAGGACAGGCTCATAAAAGTTGTTCAATTCATTTGCCACTTTCTTATATTTTGTTAACAATTCCCAAGTCTCACTGTCTAGAAGACCAAAGCTCACTTTACTTACTCTTTTCACTTTAATATACCTACAGAAAATCTTACGAGCATTTTAAAATTTCTAGCTAGCTCTCTTACTCTAATTTCCCACTTTCTTTAAAAAAAGCATTCTTTGTTGTTATGTATATTCTGTTCAGTCTTCCAACCTGCCACTAATCTTCTTAGAATTTTACATGTCTTCTTTCATTTCAAAACTATTCTTAAGTTCCTTAGCCACAGATGGTGCATCCTTTTTCTAGAGTCCTTCTTTCTCACTGGAGTCTATCATTGCTGAGTGATATGAAATACCTCCTTAAATGTTTGCCACTGTCTCTCTACTAACCTATATCTCTGCCTAATTATTCACTTCTTTAATCTGCTCTGTCCTCTTACCCTCATAATTGCTCTTATTTAAGTTTAAAACAATAGTCTAAGAAACACTCTTTTCTCCCTCAAAATGAATACAAAATTCAATTATGTTATGATCATTGCTGCTTTGGCACTTTTACTTTGAGATTCTAACTAATCTTGTTTCCTTGCACAATGCCAGATCTAGAACAGTCTATTCTCTGGTTGGCTCTAGAACATGCTGAGTTAAGAAATTGTCCAGAAAACAGTCTAGGAACTCATCTGCAGGTTAGTTTTGTCAATCTAAGTCATTTAATCCACATGTTCATTAAAATCATCCATATTATTATTGGACCTTTCTCATATCCCCTCCCCCCTACCCCCCCCCCCCAACCCATGTCCTGTTATTTCTTTGTATATATACTGTCCTAAAGTGTGCTTACTGTTACGTGGCCTATAAACTACTCCCACAAGAGACTTCTTTCCTTTACTATTTCTTATCTCTAAAACTGATTCTATTTCTTGACCTTTAGAATCCAGCTCAAGTTTCTCTATTGTACTGACATCACTCTTAATGAACAAAGCTGTTCCTCCACCTTTCTTAGCTTCTTGTCCTTCTGAAACATTATGTACCACTGTAGATTCAGGCCCTGGCTTCTGCCATCTTACATCAGGCAAGCGATACAACTTTTTGGTTTCTCACACTTGGCTGCAGAGAACGGTGTTGATCCCCTGACTATATTTCCACAATTATCACTGTATTCCATTAACATCCCCCAGCATGAATGACTTCCAGTCCGTTAGTGCTATTGCTTTAGGCTTTGCTCATCCATTACGCATCACTTATTTCCATTATTTGCAAGAACCTTGAACCAGTTGGACAACTCTAAGTGATAAGTCTCCTCCACTTTTACCTTCTCGATCCCCCCTATCTGTCTCATTCACACTCACATGCTCCTGTCCCTTGTCAATGACTAAATCAGATGACTACTGCATGGGTTGTGACTGCCATCCAGAACAAAGTGTCTGGGTAACCTCCCACCCCCTGAGATATCACATGGTTTGAAGCTCAGGCTCAAGCTCAAAGACTGATCTGAAGTTCCTCAAGCTACAAGCACTTAGTGAATATTTGCCTTTGATCAATGGTTTCCAGAGGTTTCAGTATTCTACAGTTGCAAGACATCACCTACACAGCTATCATTTAGTTAATTAAATATTTACTGATTCTATTTTAATTTTATTTAATGTCTCTTGTCCATTTGTGCAAATAATCTTTTTTATTTCAATAATTATTCTACTCATTCTATTTGAAAATCACTAGTGTGATGACGCTGTGACTTTAAGAGATGCATTTTGTCCCTTTTTTTTATGAAGAGAGGCTGAGACAGAGAGATGAGCAGTCTGCTCCAAGCCAGGGCTTGTGAGGCCTTGGATTTTTTTACATTGGAACTCATAGAACCAGGATTTTAGTTTTAACTTTCAGTAGCTGTTGGGGTTTGGAAGCTGGTATACATCTCTCCATGCTACAGCAAAACACTTGAGTTCTCTCTCTCTCTCAGAGTTTTATCTTGATGTTCTTTCCTCCTGGACCGGAGAATTGCACATGAGACAATCTATTTTACTGAATTTGTCTTTGCCACAGATGTGTTTATGGGATGTTACTATATTGGAACAAGTTTCTGTTGCTGGTTAGTAGTTAATAGTCTATTATTCTGTTAATTTTTTCAAAAGAGTTAAGTTATTCCAATTCTTCTTTCTTTTATTTTTGTTCTAATCATAGTATAAAATAAAGTGCATTTTGCTTCAAGCCTGGTAGTTTGACCAATTGAACCCCATCCAGAACACAATGCCTTACACTTGCCTTTAAAAATAAGAAAAAGTTGGGGTCTAAGCTATTTTCTTAACATATTTTGAGGGGGTTTGGTCTGGTCTATAGCACTAGTTAAGATAACCATGAAATATTCACCATCTAATCACCTACTGACTAACCCTGATGGAATTTTCTCTCAGAAAGTGGGTTCTGACTTATTCTTCATTACACAACCCCACCCTATATCACCACTCTCCCTCGTCCCTGTCCATGACCCCATCATTGTATCCCCACTCTCTCTCACTCCTGTTTATAACCCTACCATTGTATCCCAGCTCTCTCTCACTCCTGTTTATAACCCTAGCACTGTATCTCCACCCTCTCTTGTTAGTGTTGACAACTGTACTGTTGTTCTCGCTGACCTTCATGCGTACAAATGTACGCTGAATCTTTCTGGGAATGTCAGGAAGGCCAACATCATTGTTAATTTTGATTGAGGACCAGTTAAGATCTTCTTCAGGAGACTTGTCCAATTAAGGATGGTAGGCAGACCAGGGAACTGGAAGATTCAATGAGAGAACCTATAGCAATGTGCTGTCGGTAGCCTCACTGAGAGAGAAAGGGGCTGCAGAGGTAGATAAGGCAAGCGAAAAGGCACCACTAGACAGGGATGAAAAGGTTTCACAAACTCATTGCCTATCATTAACAGATCACCTCCAGGTACCTGGATGGGAAAGCGGAGGTGTAACAGCACCTGGGTGTCCTTGTACACCAGTCACTGAAAATGAGCATGCAGGTGCAGCAGGTCGTGAAGAAAGCAAATGGTATGTTGGCTTTCGTAGTGAGAGGATTTGAGCATAGGAGCAGAAATGTCTTGCTGCAGTGGTACATGGTCTTGGTGAGATCACAGCTCTTGAGAAGGGTTCACATCTTGTCCATTCTTACAACTGATAGTGACTGATATTTTCTGTTTTGCTTCTTTTGGTAAGTTTTAACAAAGTCTAGTCCAGCCTGACTCATAACAAATCACACACGCATGCTAGACTAGACTCAAATAGAAATGAATTAAGGTTAATTTGACCTGTAAAATCAATAGGGTGCCATTAGGAGCCCTCTTGTGGCACATTAGTAGTGACCCTGCATGGGCCCAGGTTTAAGTCCCACTTGCTCCAGAGATGTGTAATAACATCTCTGATTAGAAAAATAGGTTAATAATTTTTTTTAAACAAAGTGTCATTAGCTGCTGCATGTTTAATCAACATAAAACTTAAGGGCTTGACAGTGGCCTAGATTTTCCATTAGCCAGTCATTATTTCAGCATAGATTGGGATTGCACATGATGACCTTGTGAATTCCTAGTGTAGCAGACTCTGGGAACTGCACGGGAAATTGAACAATTCACTGCAACTGGAACCCTCCAAAAGTCTTAGTTTAAATCAGAGAATTCAGAGAGTTCCAATGAAATTATGTAAATCAATTTATCAGGAAAAGCTGGATTACTAAATATATTGTCTAAATCCTGAGTACCCATTCAAGTGAATCAGAGATAGTAGGAACTGCAGATGCTGGAGAATCTGAGATAACAAGGTGTAGAGCTGGATGAACACAGCAGGCCAAGCAGCATCATAGGAGCAGG